AAGCCGGCCAGCGCCATTTTTAAATGCCGGCTAGTTTGGACTGCGTGCCGCGCGGCTACACGCAGCACGAACTAGCTAGTTTGGATTAGGCTTCCTCGAGGCGTACAGCTAGTTCGGATTAGGAAGTCTAATCCGAACTAGCTAGTTCGTACCGCGTGTAGCCGCGCGGCACGGGGTTCGAACGAGCAGGGATTTAAAAATGGCGGCGCCCGGCTTATGCAAATGAAGCCCGGGAAATTCAAATCCCGGGCTTCATTTGCAAGTGCGGTATGCCTACATTACCCCACTAGTTCGAACTAGCGGGGTAGTGTAGACATACCCTTGTTTATTCTCAAATCCCATGTAAATAATTGTTACCTGAGAAGGAACAACCACTGTGCATCTCTCTCTTTCATTGACTGAGAGTGAACTTATGAGCTTTCTCTGTGTAAAACATTTATATAAAATAAGAAGGATTTAGGTCTCTTTTGAGGGCTGTACTCTTGGATTCTGGCAATTCTCTGTAGATGAACAGTCCCAGAGTTGAGCTGGTTTGGTATTTGTTCAATAATTGTTACCTGAGAAGGAACAACCACTGTGCATCTCTCTCTTTCATTGACTGAGAGTGAACTTATGAGCTTTCTCTGTGTAAAACATTTATATAAAATAAGAAGGATTTAGGTCTCTTTTGAGGGCTGTACTCTTGGATTCTGGCAATTCTCTGTAGATGAACAGTCCCAGAGTTGAGCTGGTTTGGTATTTGTTCTGTTATCCCACCTCATTCCCTTGTCTGGGGAAGACCAGAGCAGCTGGCCCAGCACAACACGGTGAAGGAGCACCCCAGAGAGTAGGTAGACAAGCTCAGTGACATGATCAGCACACTGGATGAGAACCCTGAGGGGACCCCTGTGATCCAACCTGTGATAGGGAGTGTGTCCGAAAATGGGAAGTGCTGGGTGCATAGACACATGCCCTGCACAGGAAGAAACAACAGCTGCAGGATTGTGACATGGCCACGAGATCCAAAGGGGAATTCCAGATTCCTCCCATGGAACGGGATTGGTTTAACATATTTTTCCTCTCACCTCCCCTCAGGGATAAATCAGGTCCCCCCCACCTGCAGACTGGCATTCCCTGGGTGCAGGATTCGGGCAGAGCAGCCTCCCACCTCCCTTCTCTGTGTTCTGGTCTCTCTGCAGGTGAAAAACATGGTGAAGCTGCAACTGTGGCTCCTCGTCTTCACTGGCCTCTCAGGAGCCATCGCCCAGACAGGTAGGGGCAGCGCTGGCGGCACCGGGGGACAAGACCTAGCTGGACAGAGAACACCCAGCTGAGCGTGGGCTCCAGAGGGTAACTAAATGTCTGTCTCACACTACCAAAGACACTGAAACCTGTGAGAAACACCCAGCCGTGGCTACAGCCTTGTCCCCAGTCTGCTGTGCTAGACCTCAGGGTGCGATGCACAGTCTGTTCCTAGGGGTGGCAGCAGCGCCCTGTCCAGGCCTGGTGGGGAGCATTGGTGGGGCTGTGTGCAGTGGGGGTGTGAGGGAGCCCTGTGCAAACACGTCTGGCTGGGGAGCCCCAGGCTCGCAGCACGTCTAGGTCACCAAATCTGGCTCCTCTGTGCAGCGCCGCCAGCTCCTGCCATGTTCTCACAGACGGGATTGGTCGGGCTGGAGCCGTCGGCCCATTACGTGAGGTGCTCTAAAAAATTGGAGCCCTCTGATTGGCTGCGTGTCCCACTTGTCCAACTCCTGAGGCAGACGAACCAATCACAGCTTCTGCAGCCAAAGCCATCCTCACAGTGGGGGAGGGAGGCAGGGAACAGGACCCAGCAGCTCAGGGCTCCTCTGTCCCCTCCCCTCCCGAGAGCTACTAGGGGTGGGATTATACCTCTGTCCTGGTCCACTGCTGTACCTTCCGGAGAGGGGCCAGAGGGGTGTGAGGATCCCCTTGAGGCACCCCCAGCCTGCCAGGGGAGGGCATCCAGCTCTGCAGAGGGGGCTGAAGAGACCCAGGAGGAGCAAATATGGGGCGGGGCCTGCACTGAGAGGAGAGATTGGGGGACAGTGTTAATTACTGGGCAGGGGATGGGCAGGCCTGGGGGGAGCTGCTGGGGCCACGTAGAATTGGGAGAGGGGATAGAATTGACTGTGACCCTCACACAGGGATGGCAGGGTGGGCAGACCAAAAACGCAGGGTAACCCTTCCGCTAAAGCGCCTGATTTCGGGGCTGCAGTTCATAGTTTCTGGTGTGTAGCTGTTGGCAGTCCTGCCTATGGCTGGGGGGCTTTGAACGATGTTCCCCAGATTTTGTGTGTGTCCCTTGATGTGTCTGGCCTCTGCACGCCCTTTCCACACTCCTCCCTCTGCTAGTGAGGGGCAGGAAGTGAGCCCGGCTGGCTGCGTAGATTCCAAGACTCAATCGCCCTGATTAGCACAGGAGAGACCTGCCCCAGACTAAGTTTGAGAGCAGAGCTCTGAGAAAACGTCCACTTTTGATTTGAAGATGGCTGGCAACGGAGGCTCCACTATGACCCTCGGGTCTCTGCTCCCCATGAGTGTGTTTCTTATAAACACATCCTGTCCCCGGGCATCTGCTCCAGTAGCCGAGTGGGAGGAGGCTGCCCATTAGATGCAGTTTTCCAGTTAGTTTCACCAAAAAAACCGGAACCCCCCCCCCAAAAAAAAGTGCCAGGAAAGTTTTCTGGAGCAAAAAAAAAAGCTGGGCAGCTAAAATGCAGCAACCACTTCTTGAGAGATGTCTGAAGCACCTCTGGAGATTGTACCCACATCTAATTCCTACTCTTCAGCCTCCTGCCCCTCCCCTGAGCCCCCCTCCCTCACTCAACCTCCACCTCCTCCCAGAGCCTACAACCCTCCCACATTCTCAGATCCACAGGTCCAGCCCTGAGCCCCATCCTGTACATAAAAAATTGCCCCCTGGAGCTCACACCCCCTCTCTCACCAGAATCCCCTGCCCCAGCACAGAGCTCCTTTCTGGACCATGAACCCTTCATTTTTAAAACCTTCCCTGAGCTGACATCCCCAGCACAGAGTCCGTACACTCTCCTATGCTCCAACCCTCTGCTCTTGTCCGGAGCCCCCTCCCACGCTCTGAATTTTCAGTCTCAGCCTGGAGCTCCCTTCTGTATCCCAAATCCTTTATGCCCAGCCCCACCCCAGAGCCTGCACATTCAGCCAGAGCCTTCCTGTCTTCCTCTAACTCAACCCCCAGCCTCGGTCTGGTAAAAATGAGTGAGGGTGGGGGAGAGGGAGCAACAGTGTGCGGGGGCAGGGGTAGAGTGAATGAGGGTGTGCGTTGGAGAAGGGCTGAGGCAGGGACAGGAAAAGGTTTTTCAGTTTTCTGCAATTAGAAATTTGGGAATCCTGTCTTACAGAGCTGAGTACAGTCCCAGGGTTGGGAAGCAGGCGGAGGCCCAGGGCTGCAGTAGCTAGCTGCTGGGGAACATTAGAAAGCTGCATTAATAAGAACCTGTTGGCATGATGAGATCTCAGCCGTTGCCTTTCACGTCCCCACACAGATCTCAAAGGACAAGTCTTTGTTTTTCCCAAGGAATCTGCTGATGCCCACGTGATCTTGAACATGAATCACCACGGTCCCCTTCAGAACTTCACTGTGTGTCTCAGATACTTCACGGACCTGACCCGGCCCTACAGCCTCTTCTCCTATGCGACCAAAGCCAAGGACAATGAGATCCACCTCTTCAAAGATGAACCTGGGGTGCTCTTGCTGGTTGTTGGGGGGAAATGGGTGGACTTTAAATTCCCAGAAAATACAGGCACCAGCAGAGGCTGGAAGCACGTCTGTGCCAGCTGGGAATCTGCCACAGGTATAGCTGAGGTCTGGGTGAATGGCAATCCCTTACCTAGGAAGGGGCTGCAGAAAGGTTACTCTGTCAGCAACCAGGGTATGATTGTCCTGGGGCAGGACCAGGACTCCTTTGGGGGTGGGTTTGATGCCTCGCAGTCATTTGTAGGGGAACTTACTGATGTGTGTATGTGGGACCTGGCCACCGCGAGGGATGCTGTGCGGGCTGCCAGCGCTGATTCCCAGTTGCCACCCTCTGTCCTGAGCTGGGGCGCTTTGCAGTATCAGATTAAGGGCTATGTGGTATTGAAACCCCTGCTGAGATAAGGGCCCTATTGAAATGCAGCCTGGCCTTAGGAACCGGTGTCTGACCATCTAACTCCAGACCCTAGGGGTGCACAGCAGAGAATGGCTATGAACATAAGTCTGTGGCTTCTGAGCAAAACTAGCATTAACCTCTACTCTTGTGACTCCTCCCCCTGGTGCCTGTTTCATTTGGGTATTTCCCTGTGTCCAAATCCTGGTCTGACTTTGTGTCCCAATAAATGAACTGATTTGCTGCCGTGCAGCCTGTGGCATATTGAGAATCCCAGCACAGCCTCAGTCGGTGCAATCTGAGGCTCTGTCTAGACTGCAGGCTTCTTTCGGATGACTCTTTTTTGGGAAGGGAACTTCCAAAAAAAGTCTTCTGAAAGAGAGCATCCACATGGAAAAGCGCACCGAAAAAGTGATCTGCTTTTTCGAAAGATAGGGTCCACACTAAAGAGACGCTATCTTGCATTTCAGCTGTGATTACTGTGGACGGAGTGGACACCAGGGCACCTGTGCTTTTTCTTCTTTCCTCTTCTTTCGAAAGAACTCCCTGTGATGTGCCGGGCTGCGTCTGGGCATTGCTGAGGGTGTCAGCTCAGAGCAAATTACTCAAAACCAGGGCTACGTACATCCTTCAAGTGGAGTCATGTCCCAAAATAGGCCACAAATCAGTCACACAAAGCGCTTCAGCTGCCAATCTGGGCAGCAGAAAGCCTCAGGAGCGAAGCCCTGGTTAGCAGGAAGCCCTCCAACACCTCAGCTGCCCTGTGCCACAAGCAGCCCCGGGCCCAACACACAATTGAGGGGTTATAAAACCCGATCTGATCAACTCTAAACAGATGCTACTCATGTACTTCCCGGCTCTCTGTCCCTAGCAAGGATGCATCTGGAATCAGGAGCAAGATTGAAGACAAGATGAGGATGCCCAGTCTCATGGAATGTTTATATTCCTGGTGTCTCCCAAACTGAAGCTGGTCACATGATCAAGTGATCTAGCTCTGTTTCACATGCAAGTAGCCATTATGCACTGGCCAGTCTGCAGGTTTCCAGACACATTCCTCGGGTGTGTATTGGCCACTCAGAGAGCCATTGTCCATGTGTTAGCACAGCCATTCACTGAACAATCCTTCCTCACCATACCCAGTCCAGGCCCATTGCGCCCTCCCAGAACATTTACAGTACAAGAACAGAGCCCATATTCATAACTTCACGTACAAACATCAGACAAGTACATGAGTAGCAGACATAGACTCAGCAGAGCACAAGCTTTCATTTGACACCTCACATGGCCCACTCTGTACAGACTTTGGGGTAAACATCATCCATGGATGCAACAGTGATCTGTCTGCTCATTTAAAATCCAATAACGTGACACTCCCTCTTCCCCGTCTTTCAGAAAAACACTCTTCCTCGTAGAAAGAGGAATACCAATGCTGGAAAAATCCCTCTGTTCTTTTGATTTACTTTCAGAAGAACGCAACTGTAATGTGAACATAAACTCTAGTGTAGACATTCTTTTGATTTACTTTCAGAAGAACGCTATTGTAATATGAACATAAACTCTAGTGTAGACATATTCTCAGAAAGGGAACCTGGCTTGTGTCCTGTCTCTTCAATGGGCTCTGAGAGTTCAAGGCTCCTAATGTTCAAAGGAGTCAGCTGTTCCTTGGAAGAACGAACCCAGAAGATCCTGATCAATATTGAACACCCTCACTGGTGTTTAACGATAGAAGTAGGGCGGGGCCTGAACTGAGAGGAGAGGTTGGGGGACAGTGTTAATTACTGGGCAGGGGATGGGTAGGCCTGGGGGAGCTGCAGGGACCAAGTAGAATTGGGAGAGGAGATAAAATTGACTGTGACCCAGTCAGGGATGGCAGGTGGGGCAGACTGAAAATGCAGGGTAACCCCTTCTGCTAAAGGTGCCTGATTTTGCAGTTCATGGTCTCTGGTATGTGGAAGTTGGCAGCCATGCCTGTGGTTGGGGGCTTTGGACAACATTCCCTCGACACTGTGTGTCCCCCCCTGGTGTGTCTGGCCTCTCCACAGCCTTTCCACACTCCTCCCTTTGCTAGCGAGGGGCAGGACGTGAGCCACGCTGGGTTTATGGAGTCCAAGGCTCCATCTCCCCGATTTGCACAGGAGAGACCTGCCCCATGCTAATTTTGACAGCAGAGGGTTGAGAAAAGCTTCCATTCTTGTTTTAAACAAGGCCAGCAATGGAGGCTCCACTATGAGCCTTGGGTGTCTGTTCCCCATAAATGTGTTTCTGATAAACATGCCCCTTCCCCCGGGGCATCTATGTCTGTGAGATGCAGTGGCCGGGGGAAAGGCTGAGGGGAGCAGGGCTTTGGGGAGAAGCAACACTGGGATGTGGCAGGCCTGGCCTTTGAGGCAGGGGCCTATGATGGTGAGGAAGGGGAGACCTGGGCCACACCTCCTGACTTAAACTGGTGCTGTGGGCTGGGACAGAGCAGCTTCGGCTGAGTTAAGTGTGGGCCCACATCTAACCCAGCAAGAGCTGCACCCAAAGATTTCCCCTGTCAGTTGGGCTGCTAGGCGCAGCTTCGGCTGAGATAAGTGTGGTCCCAGGCCTGACACAGCAAGAGCTGCACCCAAAGATTTCCCCTGTCAGTTGGGCTGCCAGGCATCCAGTTTTCGATCAGGACACCCGGGTGACCCTGGTGACTCTGGCTAACACTGCCAACCAGCTGGTTAAGTGATCTGTCTGCAGCAGGGAAGCAGTCAGCACGTCTGGTTCATAGGCAGAACGGCTGCCATGTGGCTCCGTGTGCTGCCCCCACCTGCAAGCACCACCCTGAATGCCAGCACCGGAACTTCCAGAGGCCTGGACCCACAGCCACTGGGTCTGACAGAGGTGGGCCACCTGGCTACACTTCTGCCTAGAGGCTGGAGGGAGAAGCTTCCACTTCTTGGGAGATGTCTGAGGTAAGAACCTCTGAAGCCTGGACCCCCAATCCTCTCCTACTCCTCAATCTCCTGCTGCAGCCTGCTACCCTCCAACATTCTGAACCCCTCAGCTCCAGTCCAGAGCCCCGTCCTCAGTGTTTCTATATCGTATTGCCAACCTTTCCAGCAATTAACAGATGGACTGGCTATTGAGGATCTCTGGAGAAAAAGGCTTTTCTTAGTTAATTCATTTGTTTTATTATTTTCATATATGTGTATATATATATATAAATTATTAACTCAAAATATACATCAATAATTTTGATGATTTTCTGATGCTGTCTATAATTAAGAAAATTATTTTATTAAAGCTGAAGTTTTCATCCAAAAATAATTATTTTTTATATATCCAAATATCCTTAATTACTTCATGGATGGTATTTCATAAAATGAAAGAATAATAAAACATTTTAATTATTGTACTCCTGCAAGATAAAATCAGTACAGTATAGACTTCAGTATACATTTCAGCTATATATGATAAATAAAGGAACTCGTCAAATATAAAACATTTTCATTTCATATAAAATGAATAGAATATTTAATACATAATACTGAACTTTCACAATGAGTTATACTCATCAAATGAGTCATGACTTGACTCCTCACTAGAAATGTCATCACCAACATTAATATATTTATTAGTCTGACCACCAGTTTATTAGTCTTACCACCAATATTCGTAAATATTTTTATTATGTAAACTTAAATACTTCTTCATAATTACAAAACTAGAACATTTCTTTTTTTTTACTTTAAAAGCTGATCTGACAATTACACTAGAATTAAGTGTTTTAGTTTTCATACTATTCCTTTTCTTAGTTTTAATGTCTATAACCATTGAAAAATTTTTCTCACATTCTGCATTTGAATGTGGCAATGCTAAAACCTTTTGAGCTAATTTACAAATGTTTGACAACAAACATTTTCCAGAAAAATCTTTCATTTTAGAAATTTCATGCCACATTTAATCAATAGGCTTATTCTTTAAACATTCAGTTTGAGTTGATTCTAAAGAAAATGGCAAGGCTCTGGGTTCACTCTGAGCAGAGCTCACATCTATCTTAAATATTGCACAAAGTTTTGTGATTTTTTTTCTTTATCTACATCAACATCAAGACACTTTTTAGAATCTAGAAATCCAACCTCTGAGAAAACAACTGAGTCAAGTGGCAGCCTGCACTTCATTTCTTGACAACAAGTGATGTAATAATGCTGAATTACTTTTCTTAAATTCATAGCTTTGATAAAATTAGAGGAGTGTGATTCCTCACACTCTGGATCAGGATACATTTAATTAATTTTGATAAAATTAGAGGGGTGCGACACATTAATTTTCATTAATTCACGTTTTAGGAAATGTGGTTTTAAGTAATTTGTTGCAATTATTTTGAAAAGTTTCACTGACTCTGGTTTAATGCAATGAATGAGTGGAGATTTGCTTTGAAAGAGAGCATTGAATTTGTTCATGTCATCCAAAACATATTTCAAAAATAGTAGGTAGGCTTTAAGTTCTGGATTACACATTGCATCATATATTTCTTTTGCTTTTGGACTTTTTTGATCAAATACTATTCCTTTTCTTAGTTTTAATGTCTATAACCATTGAAAAAATTCTCTCACATTCTGCTTTTGAATGTGGCAATGCTAAAACCTTTTGAGCTAATTTACAAATGTTTGACAACAAACATTTTCCAGAAAAATCTTTCATTTTAGAAATTTCATGCCACATTTAATCAATAGGCTTATTCTTTAAACATTCAGTTTGAGTTGATTCTAAAGAAAATGGCAAGGCTCTGGGTTCACTCTGAGCAGAGCTCACATCTATCTTAAATATTGCACAAAGTTTTGTGATTTTTTTTCTTTATTTACATCAACATCAAGACACATTTTAGAATCTAGAAATCCAACCTCTGAGAAAACAACTGAGTCAAGTGGCAGCCTGCGCTGCATTTCTTGACAACAAGTGATGTAATAATGCTGAATTACTTTTCTTAAATTCATAGCTACACTAGGATCAATACATTTTAAGTACTCCTCACACTCTGGATCAGGATACATTTAATTAATTTTGATAAAATTAGAGGGGTGCGACACATTAATTTTCATTAATTCACATTTTAGGAAATGTGGTTTTAAGTAATTTGTTGCAATTACTTTGAAAAGTTTCACTGACTCTGGTTTAATGCAATGAATGAGTGGAGATTTGCTTTGAAAGAGAGCACTGAATTTGTTCATGTAATCCAAAACATATTTCAAAAATAGTAGATAGGATTTAAGTTCTGGATTACACATTGCATCATGTATTTCTTTTGCTTTTGAACTTTTTTGATCGACACACAAGTTGTATCTAGTTAAAAAGGGCATCTCACAACACTAATATTCT